CAGGAAGTGCTCGGTCATTAGCCTTTGTTGTATTACAATATTTTGTACAGATACGAAATGCACTAAAAAAACAGTTGCATAACTTCGGCATAAATAAAATGTATGATAATTGGAGTAGAAAAAAAAACGAATATATAGAGAGAGAAAAAGTTGAAATACGTATTTTGTCGTTGCTAATTTACATGATTAACGTTTCGCTAAATAATTCAAATCCAATGTGAATATATTATGAATGGATTGAGTAGGAAACGTCGATTTAATGGCATTTAGGATATCGTTATCGTTAAGGAGAAAGAGGAAATGTGTAAATATCTATCATCGTTGATTTCATGTAGGTTTTCTGGTGTGGGTTAATCCTATTATAATAAAACAATATAATCCTCCTTGTAGAATTTATCGTGTATCTAAATTTGACGAAAAAAAAAGAAGGTGAGTCCTTTCGTTGAAAACTATTGGTGTTTCTGGTTATATGAACTTTTAGAAAATATGTTCATTATCTTATGAAATATGGAAAGAAATATCGTTTTTTCGTCATTTATACAGTCAAGTCTCGCTTTGTGCGGTTTTTTGTGTATGTATTTAGTTCATACATTAATCCAGTTTCAAATAGTCCGGAATATGGGGAATTAACAAAATAAAATAAGATCTTGTGAAAGTAAAATACTTCTGATAAACGTTTAATGAGAGTTTAAAGAAATATTTGAATCATTTAAAATTTTAGTTGAAATTGGCTACAAATTCCTGTCCAAATTACGACCAATAAAAATACAACCAATATTGTATTACAAGTGGAAATACTAAAAATTATATAAAAATTATTATTAGTTCATATATGTGCGTAAATTATTAGTTTAAATTAATAAAATTTATAATTATTTCTTTAGTTACTTAAATTCTTTAAATATAAAGAATATATAAAGAACGTTCAGATTTTTTTCATCTGAAATTTACATTCTCTAAATATGAAGGTTTTAACAGAATGTACATTGAAAATTCCATTTTTATATTAAAAAACCATTACTTTGTTTGAATAATTATTATATTAATTAATCAATAAAATATGAGGAATAATTAGTACAGCTTTTCTCGTCTTAATGTTTTAAAAATATCTCAGAAAAAGAACATTGATAAATATTTAAGTTAAACGAAAATATTAGTCTTAAAATCGTTGTTTCTTAGTAGTACAACATATTAAAAAAAACTAGCTTATTTTGTTATAAAATTAATAATAATAAGATTACATTTAATAATCTTAGTCTCAAATTACTTTTTTTTTTGTTAATAAACTAAATTTTTGTAAATATTTCTTAAATTTTCTTACTTATCCTTTTAAATTATATTGTTTTTCGATTATAAACATTAAAAACATTGTACGTTTACTATATTTCATTATATATGATTTTCTCTGAAGATTCTAGAATTTGGACGATTTTATATTGAATATTACTTTAGATTTGAAGATGTTTTTGTTTCTGAAGATTGTGGAGATGTTTCGTGTTTGCAGATACGTGATTCGGATGCGAAATGAGTTGTTCGTGTCGCAGTATTCGTCGGCGTTAGAAAGAGTATCCAGGTCGGAATGCTAAATGGCGTTACAACAAGCGTGTGCGTGATGTGGTGGTTGTTGCAGAGCCGGTAATGAAGCTGTTATGGATGTAATTAACAGAATGTCCGTCTTTTTAATTGTTGCGATGCTGCCCACATCTCTCCTTATCTCGACGCTCTCTCTAATTGATGCGATATGTAAATACGGCGTTCTCTTTCTTTCTCTTTCTCCTACAAAGCCACCTCATCTCATCTGGTGCAACCCGAGAGAACCGTACCTAATGGTAATAATGAGAAGAGGAGCATCTCAGTTTTTTTAGCGCCGAGACGAGCCATGCATTTACTTTATATACAGATAACGCTAAAACCTACAAGATAACCGAAAGATTATCGAAACCACTATCTGGATGCAGAAGAACAAAAAAAATATATAAATAATGAGAAGAAACGTCGAAGGGAGATGCAAATACACTTTAAAATCCTCTCCCACCTGAATACCAAATTAACCATTCTTCTCGTTTGCAAGTATAATATATATAATCTTATTTTATATAGATATATACTTAAGTAATTATTTTAAATTGTTTGTTTTTCAACCTAAGATAGTTTACTCACATGCAATGTTAAATTTATAATATTTATTATTACTAATAGAATCATTGCTCGTTTAACGTACATTCTTTTAATGTAAGTTCGATAATACGTACATAATTATTGACTAATTTTCAATTTATATCATACAATTATAATTAAAACGAAATTAAATATTTTTTAATTAATTTATAACTTTAATTTCAAATTCTTGGAAATTAGATCATTTAAACAATTCCAATTATTAAAAACTGATTGATTTTTCGCTCTATGTATTATATTATTCAACTAGTTTAAAGTGAAAATATTATGTGAACAAAATCGTAAAGTTAATTTCTGTAAATTCTCATTCAAATCTGTTCAGTATATTTTTTTCTGTATTGAAGTAGAAACAACTTTTGGAATAAACTCGTAAAATAGCTTGTTAGTTATACATCAAGATAATGTATGTTGTGATACGTACGCCTCGTGGAACAATTTAAATACTAATTGCATCCACATCTTTGGATCTTGATGAGAAAGCATCAAGGATAATAAAAATAAAACCTACATGGATATTGAATATGCAATGGACAACGTGATTCGGTTGACGGTGATGAGGAGAAATCCGGACGTATGACGGAGACCCGAACGGTCGGACAGGTCGGAAACCCGAGGGGCGCCCTCTAATAATGATCCTTAAATATATACAGGGCGATAATTTATACAAATATTTATATAGAGAGAGGAAAAACACAGAGGAGAGCAGAGAGAGAACGAGTGAAAAGCATCCTATTAAATATGAAATATGCATGATAAATTTGAATGGTATGTAGATGAAGTGCGTTCGGGTCTTTCGGACTCCCCCGGGACATGATTATAAGCGTATTTATTAGCGATAATGTAAGAGATACAGATCAAACTAATAAGATACCAAAAAGGAGAAGAAACGTAAAGTAAGAACATACGTGAATGTATATGGACGTGGTGGCAGACCTGGAGAGCGGAGTCCCGCTGCGGTACTACCAAATGGTACTACTTGTTATACACGTGTTAGAAGAGCCTGTATCGAATTCTATCTGTAATTTACATTTTACCGTACAAAAGGGGCTTCGCTTTTGAGTTAAAGCCTTGTTCTTTCGGTTTACTCCTTTTGTATTTCGCTATTTCCTTTGAATTGGCTTTTTTCAAAAAAACAAAGAGCATAAATCCGCGACTTTATCGTCGCCCAATGATGTAGACCTTCTTATATAATGGTTATAACGTGCATAGTTAATTCGTTTATGTACCCGTAGCAAAAAGGTATAGAAATAATTAACGTTCTTCTGGATGTGATAAATCCGGGACCTTTGCCTGATAGATACTGCACGGACGATTATAAATAATACTACAAACTAAGAGAGTTGATTGCGATCGAGGGCCGAGGATCGGGTCTCGGTATGAGATGTTATTTATCGATGGAAATGCGCCGGAGAAATTAATTACTGCATTAAAGATAGCGTTTATATTGCGTGTAAACAAAACGTTTACATTATACTCCGACTCCGCAGATTTATAATAATAATCATAATTAGCAATAATCATATATCATTAAGGCGCCGATGCAAATCCAATAATACCTGTGCATCTGCAATTGCCAGCACTTTATTAGACGCTCGTGCTGCTTGTATTCAGATCAAGTGAGCGAAGTATGCAATTGAATCCGAGCACGAGTTACGTAACAAAAGCTGCTAAGTAGCACTAGTGTATTCTAATCATTACTTGTAGTTTACTCTATGATCGACAAGTAACTACTAAAATATATATAGTTGTCATGGAAAATGAAGTGTTGTTACTTGACAACACTTGTAATGGAGTAAAGTAAAATGGAGTAAAAATGATTTTTTTTGGGTAATAGGGAAATTTTTCTAATTTCATCTTACCAAACTTAGAGAGCGGTTCTCTGACTACTTTTCAGATCTTGATGTACAAACTGTGAATTGGGTTGTAGATCCTTTTAAATGTGAAATTACTAACATACCAGAAGAACCACCAGGTTTGGCAGAGGCAATTCTTGAATTTCCATCCAATACTGTATTCAATTTGAGTCGTCTTTTTGGTTGTCAAAGGCTGCAAAGGCTTTCAAAATTGTACATGAGGAGGCGGTAAAAAATTTGCTGCCATTTGCAACAGCCTACCTTTGTGAACAAGGTTTTTCCACTCTAATGAACATAAAAACGAAAAACAGAAATCGATTAAACGCCGAAGACTGTGTTCAAATTGCTCTTACATCAAAAAGTCCCAATTTTAAAGTAATTATATCAAACATGAAGTAACATCATGTTTCTAAAACCTGAAGGGGGAAAGTTTTCAATTAATTTTTATTTGTTCCAATTTAAGAATTTTATTTTGTTTATCTATTACTATTTGTTACTATTTTCATGTAACTTTTATTTATAAATATGTAAATGCAAATTAATTCAATAAATAATGTTTATTTAAAATTTACATTCATTGTTTTCTATTCAGAATGGAGGGGGGGGGGTAATATCGACTTACGCAATAATATTTTGGGGTAATGGTTAAAGTTCCCCGACCGCTGAACTATATTATCAAGTACTCTTCTGCTTCAATATCAAGTATTACAAATAGATTTTGAAAAGTCATATCTATTCATCTATTTATCCACATCAACCTGGTTAAGGAAGAACTAACGAAAACCAGCTCAAATTACCACCCGTATTTCCACTACATTTCTGCAGACATCCAAGGCAAAAGACCATTTTTTTAACACCGTTAACTTTGGATGCTCTGGGCTAAAACTGTTTGAGGGCCCTGAACTAATATTGTTTGAGGGCCCTAGGCTTATACTGTTTGGATTTACATGATAATGATGATACACTTACCGACTATAACTACGTGTCCGAAGGATGTTGGGTTGCTTATTGCCGTGCAGTTCCATCGATGGAACTTGAACTGATGTCTGCACTCGGAGGTAGCTAATCTGACACCATCTCCAACTGCGACCATCGCATCCGGCGAGGAACGACACATCTCCCTTTGTTTCGCTGTTAGACCTGGCACTCGGGCACAAATAACTTCGGCACCAAGAGTCAACACACCACTGACCACCCTAAAACACACAAAAAAAAAACAAGTATTTATACTACAGTACAAACCATGATCATCATCGATTTAGATAGATTATTTTAAGTAAATTTATACTTCTTGATTACCATTACCATTTGCTATACTATACTTTGTTTTTTTGCTAATTGCATTAAGATAAATGCATTAAAAAAAAGGTAATTTAAATCGGAATAATTGAGATTGTTTCTGAGATTTTTCGTTTCACGCGCATATATTTACATTGAAATTCCTGACCCATCTGTTTATCTTGACCCGACCATTTGGCACTTGCCTTAATTCATTTTCGAAGTACCTTCTCGATACAAACTTATCGTACAAACTTTCCACTCGCTTTTTGTTAATTTCAAATTGATTACCTCAACACTCCAATCAATTACACCTTATCTCACCAATTGGAAAACACGCATTGTTAATTAAATTTCTTCGAGTGTTTTCTTCACTCTCGATACGACTAACTTATTTATGGTCATCCTTAATACTCAAAACACATTACAGCTTCAAATTATTCCCTTTTATTTCTCACGATATATCACATTTACTTCAATATATTTAAGAATAATAAAATATGTTTTAAAAAATTAAATTATAATTATTTAGTTTAAATCTAAAACATATAAAAGTAATGGAAATTTATTGAAAATTACGCAATTCAGAAAGTATGCTTCCAATTATTTTCATTATTATATAAAACTTGAATAAATAATTCTTGAATTTTCATCATCCAATAATAATTGCTATTATTTATTAGGAAAATTACTTGGATGAACTTTTAAAACCGCAATATACGAGATTCTATAAAACCAACGTCGTGGTTAGCCTTTCAAGAATTCCATATGGACTTGAACAAATAAGCAATTTGTAGTAACATTTTACAATGAAAAAAAAAACAACAAATACTTGCATGTGTATAGATCGTATAGTTAGTTGTAATAATTTGTAAATTCTAGGCGAAAATATGCACGCAATTTGATGTATAAATAATAAAAGGACGCACCTACAGCTTTAGTTGTATAGCTTTGTTAGTTTTTCCATGAAGTGGACTATTGCTCAATTCTGTCATTAGATTTAATTGTTTTATAACTATATAATTTATTTGTTTGCACAGTTTGTATGCACTCGTAAAGGAAGGGTTTACTTAGATGATTCAATTCATTTAATCTACTTTAATCATTTTTTTTTATTATGAATAACATTTATAATTAGGTTTAAATTTAAATTAAATTCAACATTGAAAAAATTTTAGGCTTATAATTTAAAAAAGTATTAATTGCTTTTATGCACGTTTGAACAATGTTTAATTTTCTTGATATCTATTAAATTTAAATCCTTATGTATATATACATATGATAATTGTAGTTTTCTTTGACAAGTTTATTATGAAATATTATAACACGTTTATTATTTCTAGTACTTTGACTAGACTTATAATTAAAATTAAATTACGTTTACAATAGAAATTATTAATTCAGAATAAACTTAATCATTAAGCAAGGTTCCACTGTATAAATATTCCATCCTTCCAGAATTCAGCAGTTTTTTCATCAGAAAGAAGGTTATTGTCGATCAATGTATTGATTTCATCATCATTATTACAAGCAGATCTTTAAGGCTGAAATTTCCATTTTTAAACATATTGGATTAGTTTTGTATAGTTCTTTCAGCTAAGGCAACTTCTCCATAAAATGTATATATCCAAGTATCAAAGTTGCATGTTAGAATTTATTTTCTTCCAACTTCAAGAGTGTATTAAACTGATATAAATTATTTGATCCGAACTTCACGTTTTTCTAAAGACGGTTGAAATGTCACCTTTCAGAATATAAATATGCAATTTAAATTAAGTGATCTAAGAAATTCAGTTAATAATAAATTCAAGTAAAGAAATCAGTATAAATTTGCTTAGTAATGTATAATTAAATGATGGATTTATTATTTATTTAATGGTAAATAAATTGCATCGGAGTGATGTCAGAGATGACGGTTGGAGATATATTCAATTAATATGATCTATGGCTGGGGATTGTTTTTCGTCTCTTCGTTTGCAGCACAAATTCCATAGGAAATTATTCAAATCTTATAATTACATAGATACGATGCAGATGCGTATCTCGGAATCAATTAATTAATTGGCGAAGAGTGGCGCATCATAGGCGATCCTCGCTGAAAGACTGATGCCACGTAAACTGATGATATGGGTTATTTAAATAAATGCAAATCATCGGCATTAATAATAAATATAGAGATGGTATCGATGGCGATTATGGATGTACACACATGCAGATGGGATGACGTTGAAGGCATGTGGAGAAGATAGTACAGATCAGTGGCGGTACAATCAAATTCAACAATTAAACGAAAAGCAACCAACCCAAATTGAAAGTATGAAGTAGGTAAACTGAATGTTTGTTTTGTATGTAATTTGATGATGATTAAATGTAGTAATAAAGCTGTAAAGTAGAAATGTTAAAAAGGAAACATTGTAATAAGTAGGAATCATTGATTTAATATCTTGAGCTGAAACGTAACCAGTTCAAAATTCACTAAATCACGCGTTAAATTCATCATATGTGGTCAATTGGTTAAAGTAAATGTTTGAAAGTTTAGTATCAAAATGTTGATACTATGATCCGATCGAATAATAAAGTAGAAATGGTTAAAAAGGTGTAAAGTAGGAAACTATGATTTTATATGGGTAAAAAAACTGCTCTTATGGACGAGCCGCTACTGATGAGGAGAGGATCGCATGCAATCGTGCATTTCGCCAAAGTTGAGTTGTTGTAGTATAAGTGGCCCCGAACCGATGGATGATGTAGTTTATACCTGAGTACAACTGACAGCTCAATTACCGAGTCAACTGTTGATTTATTTGCACGCTAATAATTACACGACGCTCGGGGGGCTGCGGGGGGTCCCGGCAGTGCTGGAAGTACTGATAGGACCACCCAGGACATCTGTCACCATCGCAAATATTTTTGTTGTTGTTGATATTTTTTTGTTGTTGTTGTCGTCGTCGTTGTTGCTTGTTGTTTGGTTCATTGCGTACGCCCACGCTTGTCCCATATGCGACTCACCCACAAATGGGAACCCAGGAAATCGAACGGCAAGAAATGCATTTATTTAGAAAGTCCCATTATTTCCCAATTCGAAAGAGTGGTCAAAGGTAATTAGCGCGAATTAGGACGTTCGTACAATCATTGCGCACCAATCAATTTCGCTGACAAGGAGAAAATTTCGAAAAAAAAAAAAACTATTCACCGTTTTGATTTACACGGGCGATTGCGCAACTGAGAGAGAGAACTAACACCCATTTCCCATTGTTACGTGTCGAAAACGGTCAATTTATGGTGTCGCGCGAGACGTTGCGAAATCACCATTAGGTGAGGTGAACGTTAATGCCAATAATTATTAATACGTTGAAAATCGCCTGATTTATGACCAACTTCAAATGCTAAACGCAATTAAAAATTTTTTTACTTCCTTCATTCTAGGATTTATTGCATTCATTAATATATAATTCTATATATTTATGTATTTCACTTACTTCAACCGCATACAAAATGAAGATCCTTACTATGTTACCAAAGATTTGTTATTTTCTTAATTTCATATTATCAAAATTAATTGTTAATTCTTATATATCTTTCGAATGCAAATGGTCCAATTTCGATCATATTCAAGAGAAAATCCCAAGTTTTTTGCGTTTATTAATTATGGCAATACCTCGTATAGTGCGGTTTCGAACTGTGCGGATTTAATGTATATGCATTTAAAAACAATCTAAATTTTAATTGAGCAAAATATTTAAATTGAAAATTTCTATACAATTGTTTTCAAATCTGCGGCGAGATATTAACTTTATAGAAAGAATCTTATAAAAGTTCTTGTTTAATTACATTGAAGAATTCCCTTAATTTTTTGAAAAATGAATAACTAATAATATTATACACATACATTAATTTAATATTCTTGTTTCTTTCTTGTAACTATAATTTTCTTAACAAAATTAAATTACTTCATATTTTCTAAATAGTTAAAAGTAAATGTGATTTATTTTTTTTTGTTTTTTAATTTGTATAATAAAAAACGCTTGATTTATAACCAAGTTCAGTTGCCAATTATCCATTTTCAATTCGTTCCTACTGGGATTTACTGCCCGATTCGGAATTCGTAAAACGAAAACAAATCAGAGAAGTAAATGAATATATAAAGAAAAGTGTGTAGATGCAAACAGTAAATTGCTAAAAGAAATAATAATAAAAAAAAAAACAAACGAAACCTAATTAAATTAGCTTAGCATTGCCTATATTTGCACGAGGCAATTTAAATTCCCCGCTAAAGCAATTGCCTTATCCTTACGCGATTTTTTTGTTTAACTATCCTTTTAATAAGGCTACTATCTATAATCTTCTTTTTCATTTGTTTGGACTCGCATCCAGGCGGTTTATTAAAGTTACATTTCCAATTTGCAAAAGGGTAATTAAATTAAATTAACTCATCTCCATCCTTCGTCCTCTCCCTTTTCTCTACTTAACTATTCCTTTTTTTTTTCTTATTCTTCTACTTCTTTAAGTGAAACGAAATCGATTTGTAAATAATGCGGCGCAGATGGAACAGTGAGAATGAGAGAGAGACAGAGAGAGAGATGTAACGGCGAAGAGGAGAAGGAGTATTTCGTGTAGGAGTTCAAGAGCAAATTTAAATGTTAAACATAAATAAGATAATCAGCGGAGGCCTTAGTATGTATATATATGTATGTATGTATGTGTGTGTATATATATAAGAAGTCAGTCTTATTAGTTTAAAGGTATCTCATGTCAATTAATGCATACTTGTGCTACCAAACAAACAGCATTTTCCAACTGAATAAAATCGTAACTTTCAAAAAGAATACGAACGGCAGTCGCATTTTTCTGTCTGCTCCGCATATTTATATGCACACCGAGGCAGTAAATATTTCCACATTGTTCGGTCTCGAGAGACAAA